CCATTGTTTTAACATAGAGGTGAATGTCTTACAGCATCTTTGTCTGCACTTGTGGCCTCCCAGAAAACAGTATAAAACACAGTGATTCCTAAAGCCACTAAACTAGTTATATTTTACACTAAAGTTTCAGATTTTTTTTTTTCTTAAGGTCTTATCTATCGCTAAATGCATCAGTTTCCTATTGATGCTGGAACAAATTGCTACAAATTACTGGCTTAAAACAACACAAATTTACTATCTTATAATTCTGGAGGTCAAAAGGACAAAATGAGTAGTATCATTAGGCTAAAACCAAGGTGTCAAGAGAACTGGTTCCTTCTGAAGGCCATAGAGAAGAATCCATCTCTGGCTTTATCCGCCTTCTAGAGGCTGCCCATGTTCCCTGGCTCATGGTCCCATCTTCCATCCTCAATGCCAGTGAGGGCTGGTTGAGTCTCTGTCCCGTAACATCACTTGAACTCTGTCCGTCTTGCCTCCCTCTTTCACTTATGAGGGTACTTCAAAAGGTTCATGAAAAGATTCACATTATCTTTTAATTCTATTTTTCCACACACTTTTTGAAGTACCCTTGTATGAGGATCCTTGTGATTACATAGGGCCCACTCGGATAACCCAGGATAATCTCCCACCTCAAGGTCGGCCGCTCAGCAACCTTAATTTCCCCTTGCCACATAACACAGCACAGTCACAGATTCTGGTAATTAGGATATGGATATCTTTGGGGGGAAGGGGGAGCAGATTATTCTGCCTACAACCCTGAGGTTTTTTCTTTCGTTGAAAGAAAACTTGCCCCTGGTTATTTCAAAATCTTTATGAGCTCAGGAAAATTGCATGTGAACTAACGTGGCTTCCACATGATACTACTGTCACTCCTCTAGGATTGTGCATGACGTCATTCACATGAGAGGAACACACACTGTAGCAGAGCTGACTGTGTGTTTTACTCTTCCCACTGGATCATGAGCTCCGGATGGTACGGGCTCCTGCATCTTTCTCTTATATTCCTTGAATTCCACACTGTGGGTCTCCAATAAGGAGCTGTCAAAATGAATTGATTTATGACTAACTAGATATGTATTTGCACATCTAAAGCAACCCTTTACATTAAAGATGAAGGATAACCCATTCTCCAAGAACAGAAATGAGACAGAAATCTTAGGAGGGAAAACCTCTTGTACCTTGAGCACAAAGTTATCCTCAGCCTGGAGCTTTAGATCCACGACCGCCTTCCTAACCAAAGCTTCGAAGTTGAGGTCTCTCCTCCGGGGGACATCCAGGGTGGGAAAGAGGTCCCCGATCAGGCCCATGAACACGGGCATGTCATCAGTCACGATCTTGGGGATGTTGAAGTCTCGCAAGGAGCGCATCAGGACTTGGTCCTCAGGCCGGTCAGGGTCTCCTCGCTTCAGGGATCCTGCCACCACGAGCACAGACTTGATGGCCCGCAGACCCCAGTCATAGTGATCCTGTGGACAGGCAACATGGGTTAGACCAAAGTTACTGGGATGCAGAACACCGTATGGCGGGGCTAGTGCCTGCAAAATTGCAGATATTATATCAGTATCAGCTCACTTACGAAGCCCAGGCAGAGGCATGGGAAAGTATTTATGACAGAAAATCATGATCACAGAATTCTTGCTCCTGGCCTGGCATTAGCTACTTTTCCAAGCTGTGATGACTACAAGGCAGACACAGAACACTCAAGGGACGGGAGGTCAGGAAGATTAAACAGAGCCATCTTCAAACCTATCTGACTACTGCTTGCACATTCACTGGGTCAAAGAGTTGGCAAGCAGAGAGCCACGTTAACTCTCAGAGATGGTACAGACTGAGCTTACATGCTCCACCTTGGAGGCCTTCAAACTCTGAGAAAAGGAGTTTTAAAAAAAATAGTTCCTTGAAGTGGGTTCCATCAAAGGTGGCACTCACTGGCCACAAGCGCT